GAGTAACGGAGTGGCCTGTCTCTCTGCAGGACTTGTATGAGATCTACGCACTGGGGCTGACATCTGTTATTAGTATATTGTTGAGGACAAAGGCGGGGAGAATTCAGAACTCAGACAGCAACAACAAAAAGCCACAAGGAAGCTTGGTCACCCTCTACACACAGGGTCCTCTCCACACACAGGGTCCCCTGTACACACTGGGTCCCCTCTACACACACATCCTAAACTACCCCAGATGTGAATGACTTGACTCTGAGAAGTCTAGTTCCAGGGTAAGCTTTCAGGTCTGCTGGCCCTTGGGCATGCCAGGGAGGTTCAGGGTCAGAGGGTAAGCAGTGCAGGACAGTGAGCTCCTAGGAATTCAGGGTTAGAGTAAGCAGGAGATCAGCCCTCTATGCAGAGATGACATTAAAACTGAAGGAAGAAATCAGGGAAATGCACAGTGGAAGTCAGGTTGTTTCCACGTATTAAAACTCAGTGTTCACACACAGCAAAGAGGTTTATATAAACATCCACAGAGGCTTTAATTGTGCACACTGTCATGTTGCAGGGAAACTCGGTGAATGATGAAAAGTGTAGACAGCAAGAAGAGAGAGAGGCGGGGCTGGACATTCTGGCTTCAAATAACCATCATCATTAAGGTAATGATCCTTCACCGGCGTTGTGCAGGACCACAAGAAAATATTTATTTGTCATTAAAGACAACAATGTGTGTAACAATTTGTATACATGAAAAAATCTCCTCCAGAAATACTGCTGCATAAAGAAGAGAATTGTTGTGTTGTGACATTTAAGGTAGAAGTCTGTTGACATAAAATTTATGTTATTATTCACCTATGTGAATCTACATGTACGAAAAATAATATTACAGCTATTTTTCAAGCACTTGTGATACACCATGCATCATGTATGTGCAGTGTCTGCATGTGTTGTGATATTTAGCCCTCACATCTTGCAGGGTAAGCACCATGGACATTTTATAAATGAGTAAAGAGACGAGGACGGGAAGGGAATTGGCCAATATTGTGTAGTTATAAAACAGAAAGATGGAGAACTAACATCAGGCATGCCTGGTTTCTAGACAGGCTATAATTGATTCAGGAAGATGCGTAGATTTGGGGAGATGCTTGTTCAGGACATCTCTCCAGAGGACAAGATCTCTGTTTTCAGTACTGTCAGAGCACATTTCAAAGTCAGTGTTCATTATTTTTAATACATGAAGATGTTTCAATCAGAAGGATAAACAAAAGGGGGGATTTTCTCATCCTCTGTCTATCTCATTTCCATCTCTAATGATACAGAAGTAATGTTTAATCTCCAACTACATATGCCCACTCTATCTATGGAGCTAATTGCCAAAATGTCAATCACTGAGAAGAAAAATTGTTACTCTCAATATCTAAAAAAAAAAAAAAAAAAAAAGGATTAATTAGATCAGTAAGAAAAACCATCTGTTTCCAGCTCCCAAGTTTTCCAATTCATCCTCCGGGTATCACCCGATGACGTCTTCTTCCCTACTCAGACACTTTCAATGGCTCCTCACCACGTAGCAAATCCAGAGCCTTCCCAATCGGGCCATACTCTCCACCCTTGGTGTCATCTCTCACTACTACTTCCTGGTACGAAGGGTAAATGTTACTCAGCTCAGGCTCCTGACCTCTGAAATGTCTTCACAATGCCCAATCTTAATCAAAAATCAAACTGTCTACCAGGGTCCAAATGCAAAAAGTCAAAAACAGGGAATGAAGGGCACACTCAGCACAATCTCCCCGCAAGATGGTGCATCCAGGAAGCTCAGTCACCTGGCACACACGCACAAAGCCACAAGTGTTAAGCACTCAATACTATAGGATATTAAAAACACACCGGCTGGGGTTGGAAAGATGGTTCTGCATTTCAAGCCCTGGTGAGAACCAGAGTTGGATTCCCAGCACACATGCGGAGGCTCACCACCATCCATGACTCCATTTCCAGAGGATCCAACGCCCCCTGCTGGCCTCCTTGGGCATCAAGCATACATGCGGTACACAGACACATATATGCAGGCAAAAACACCCATACACATGAAAATAAATAACATTTTTATAAGTGGGCTATGGTTCAGATCTGGAATGTTCCTCAAAGGCCCATGGTTGCAGCACCAGTCCCCAGCCTGTGACATAATTGGAACCTCGAAGGACTCGGGGCCTAACTTGAGGGAGTCAGGCTGAGGGGAGGGTCCTTTGGAAGGTGATATTAGGATCACTTCCTACGGCCACGAGGTGAGCAGTTTACTCCATCAATCTTCCTGCTATGATGTGCCACCTCACCACAGGCCCAACAATGGCAGGGATCGCATCCTCTAAAACCGGGGGTCAAAATAAATATTTTCCTCTGTTTAAGCCAATTGTCTCAGGTACGGGTTACCATGAGAGGACACTCTCACAGTTCACGAAAGTGGCAAAACATATTTTTGTAAGTCATGCACTCATCCATTCTGAGATATCATTAAGTTGCATAGCACTCAGTCAAGGAAGCCATGAGTCACACATTTTTAAAAGCCAGGATTTTTAATTTCCCACTGGTTTAAAGATCTTTGGGGCTTTGTATTGAATGCACAAAGAAAATATAAGCAAAACAGAATAATCTAAGTGTTTATAAAATCACCACACACACACACACACACACACACACACACACACACACACACACACACACACACACACTTGTACAGCTGTCACCCATAAGCAATAACCATAATCATCACGGCTTATGCTTTTCCAACATGGTATATACCACCCATATGTCACCAGGACCACGGGATGCATTCTCCAGTATTTTCATAAAGTAGCTGGTACCCAATTGCCAATTTTTAATAGGCAATCCTAATCTATGAATGAGAGTGTTAGCAAGATCTCGGCCACACAACTGACACTGTAAAACATAACCCAACGTTTGAGACTTTAAATGTGGGGAAACTGGCTTGAAAAATGATGAAATTTGGGGCTTGAATTAGAGAACCGCCCTACTTGAGAATATAAACCATGCATATATGTATACAAATAATGTATCTGTTATATCTTGTGTACATATATATGCATATACATAATATATACGTACATGGTACATACATACATACAAATGTGTGTATGTTTTGCATGTACACATTAGTTACATATATGTATATATAAAGAGTTTTTCCCTTTTGTGTCACCAACAGAAGCGATACCATCTCCCAGCAGTGACCCACTTCAGCCTTGTCCCTCTTCCAACTGTTTCCTCTCTTCTGAGTGAGCATCCCTCTACAGCGGTTCTCCCAGGCACCAATTAGAGTTGGTGGGAGAGGAAGCAGAATGCCCACAGTCCTCCCCACAAAGACACCATTCTCCTCTTCCCTCAGTACCTTGCAGCATGCTCTTCTCCGATGCAGCAAACCTGTGGGAACCTCCATAGTTGGAGCTACAGATGGCGGGTAAGGTGGATGCAAAGAGGATCTTTCTATTAAAAAGAACAGCTGCACGAAAGACCTGGTGTTTCAAATTTCTGAACACAGTGGTGGTGCTTCTCGAGCCTCTCTTTTTAAGTAATATGTCAAGAACGGCCTTATTTCTTATTCAGTTCCATGAATACTTACTAAAGGTTTTAGGGGTTACAACTGTTAGGTTCAGGGATAAAGAAGAGTATAAGTCATTAGCTATACCATGCGCTCAACCCAGGATGATTGGAGAGAAAGCAATAAACACAGGCAAAACGTTAACAATGCATTTGTTTTCTAGGCCTAACACAAGGCTACCTCCGTGTGTGTGTATGTGTGTGTGTGTGTGTGTGTGTGTGTGTGGTGTGCGAGCATGTTTATGTGAATGCACATGTGTGGTTTGTAAGAAAGTCTATAAGAACAATGTATCAAAATGTCAGCAATCTAAAAATTAAGTTGTCAGCCTTTCTTCCGTACTGCAAATTACAAAAGAATTAGGGGTTTGGAGCTAATAGAAGCTTCCAGTCCTACAGTGTGCAATTTAACCAATCATTGCAAGGTCTAAAACCACAGCCCCAAAGACATTTCACCAGCGATCTGCAGTCCCAGCACCTAATTTAGACCCCTCTACCTCCACTGCTCTCCTGTCTTGTCTTCCCCTTTGCTTCAGAAGCGTGTCCTGGAATAGCTTTACCACTTCGTAAGAACCACCCAGACTTCCTACAGCCTGAACACATCAAGGTGAAAACATGGCAGTCCTCTTCGCAAAGACCTATACAAAAGACATCTGCGGCTCATGTGAAGAGGCGCTTCCCTCTTCCTGCTGAGATCACATTAAATTCATAATCAAATAATAACAAATGTACTTAGAGGCGCTGAACCTGTGTGTCCTCTTACCGCTTATCAGATACTAATTTGGATGAAATGTGTCTCCACACTAGAATGCTACAAGGATTAAAATGTCAAATTAAGAAATAATATTAGCAGATAAAGCAAAGTTATCATAGAAACTAATTACCCCCAAATCATGACAAATATTTCCTATGACTGTGAAATATCTAGCTTTTCTATTTTTTCCCAGCTGCCAACAGCAAGTGCATCATGTTAAAAATACATAACATTCTTTACAGAGAGAGTAAGAGACACTATATACTTTTAAAGACAACCCCTAATAATCTTACCCAAAAATTTAAGTAGAATGTTATTAATATAAATGAACTATTGACTTAATAAATTAAAATACTGATTCACTGGTTCTTTAATTGTTAAATGACCCTTTTTAAAAAATCACAGCATTTTCTTATGGAACAGGAATATTCAATGGCTTTGACTACTTCACCCCAAATCTCTGCTCCTCGAGACACACGTCTTCCTACATCCACACAGTACCTTGTCGTGCGGTTCAATGCGAGAGTCTCATTCATTCACCAGGCAAAGTAAAAGGCAGCAAGATGGTTCTGCCTGCCCCACCCTTCCTTCCTCTGAGCTATAGTGATGTCACAGCCCTGCCAGAGCAATGACTTCACTGCCCCAGTCCCTGCTTCTGAGGACATGATCCAGGACAAATGAGATGCAGCCCAGCCCTCCCAGGGCCCTGAGTGTCTGCTGGATTTCCAACAGATTAGCAACCAGCAAGCCTTCTGAAAGCGATGGCACTGCTGAGGACCTCTCTAAGGGAAGCGGTGCTGGAGATAAACTTGCTTCCTGGGTTTCAGTGGGGCATCCACCTTCCATCATAAAGCTGACATTCCAAGAGGAAAACGAGAATAGAATTGAAGAGGACCAGGGGTAGTCTACTTAAGAAACTTCTCTTCTCTATAGTTGAAGTCTCGCCCAAAGAAAACATCTCCCAGGCTGCTCTTGGAGTCCATTTTCACTGGCAGGTAAGGCATAGATTCTCAAGTATCAACTGTAGAACTTTTAGAGCACTAACTTAGAAAGATGAATGCATATCCTACAAGAAAACGCCGCTACGCTAATCCCTCCATGCTCACATCAACACAGAAAACGATAGCATCTATGTCTCTCCCAGGATACAGGTGGCCACCTCTCTTCTACTTCAGGGCTTCCCTGCTGTGCTCTGCCATTGGATTTTTTTTTTTAAACAGCAATATGTACATATATAAAATCACACCTGATCCAGAAAAAAAAATAAAAAAACAAAAACAAAAAACCCCAAAACCCTCATCTTGTATTTCTGCACGAATCAAAGTTGGCCTTGGTCCAAACACCCAACAAGAACTGGCAAATGTACCTTCTAACCAAACCATGCTCACACATTAAAAAAAAAAAAATCTTAAAAATTAAATGTAAATATGTTATTGGGACACTGACCTTTGACCTTCAGCTCCACAATCCCTGGCCTAAAGGGGTTTACAAATGACTGTGGCTACTCTTCTGGTTTCTGATAAACCACTTAGAACCCATGCTCTGTTTTGCAAGAACTTGCTGTGTGCGAGCCCCGTTCATGCAGTGGCTTGTGCTTCTTCTAATTACCTAAGCTTTTCTAAACCATCGGAAAAATCATAATGTAAATAATTCAGTACTTCAGCATTCAGCTTATTTCGCCTGTGTTTTTTGGAGATTAACAAAGGAAAGGCATGCCTCTTCAATGCAGAATGTATTTCCTCTCACAATAACTTTGTTACTGCAATTAAAGTTTTGAGAAGTTGATGCCTCCATAAGCATGCCACTAAAAGACAACAGTAAGCCAGCCTTGCTGAGTCAAGATGCGGATCATCAAATCACTTCCTCCCCGGGGCTCTCTCAAGTTTGATGCCCCACTTTCCTGTAGGGGTGCTGAATTCATGGCTTCCAGATAGAGGTGGAGTTTCACCACTTTTCTTCATCGAGGCTTTAAAATGCAGTGTAAGATGCAAAAAGAATTTTCCTTTTAGCACTGGATACGATGACTCCTTTACTTGGGTAGTTATGCTACCAAGAGTAACCCCAGAACATCCGACCGCCCCCACAGACCCGCCCCCCAAATGGGCCCCTGAAAACCACAGCCAAGGACGTCTGCAAAAGCAATACCACAAAAAGTAATGTAAAAAAGCTGAAACACCAACTTAAACACGTAATGGAAGCGTTGCGTTATTAGCAGGACTGCCTGGCCCTCTCAGGACAGCCCAGCCTCCTCCATGCTTAATTAATACCACATGTTCCCTTTATCATTCGATTTTGTTCTGCAGGACTCTTCTCAACTTGAACCCTGGTCTGTAAAGATAGGAGGTTAAATCGCCCCCCTACACACCCCACCCAGAAAACTTCAGATCAGTAAATCTAAAAAGAGAAAGGGCAAGAATGCTCCCCACCGCAAGGACCACACTTACAATCTGCGAGGTAACCACACCCACCGCATTGCAGAAGCTGTGAACTTGGCGCCGGGTGCAGGGGGAAGAGGGGGGGAAGGGGAAGAAGTAGGGTGCGTTTACAGGGGAACCCGAGAAAGCAAGCCCCTCTGGTACAGGAGCCGAGGCGCACCAGCCTAGCAAGGACCCCACTCTAGCGGCCCCCAGCCTCCCTGCCCCCACCCCTCTCCTCGGGCTCGCAGCCCCGGAGGGCACCAGGTGAGCCGCGCCCGCCCGGGTGCAGCGGTCTTGCAGGCCGGAGCGCGTTGCCGCCCGGCGCAGGGAACCGTCCCAGGAGGGGCGCGCGGCCCGCAGGTGCCCAGGCCCGGAGCAACCTGGCTGGCCCGCTGCCGGCCTGGGGACGCTGCCCACTCGGGGGAAAGGAGGCAAGTTACGTAAAAGCGGCCGGCCCCAGCTGCAGAGCCGGGGATGCTCCGAGCCCCGCCGCGCCCGCACCCCGCACGAACGCAACGACAAGCCGCAGCCTCGGGGCGCACGGCCCCTCCCGCGCACAGCCCCCGGCCTGGCGCCGCAGTGTCGCCCCGAGCCCTGCACGCTCAGAACATGGCGCCCCGACCCTGAAATCGGCGCTGATGGCCGGAGAGGGGAGCGGGGCCCGGTCGCCCCTGGGGGCCAGGGCTCAGAGGGAGGCCCCCAGGCCGGAGGCCGAGCGCCGTGGGTGCAGCGCACCGGGACCCCGAGACCCGCGCGTCTCGGAAACGAGCCCCCCTCGGAGCCCCTCAACCACCAAGGGCAGAAAAGTTACCTGTGGGCGGCGGGGAGGCCGGGAGCGCAGCGGCGTGGGGACCCGGCTGGCACTGGCGTCCTGCTCGGCGGTGCGCAGGAGACTCCGCACGGGAGGAAGCCGCAGCTCTGGGCTCCCCCGCCCCCCTTTGCAGGAGACACGGAGGCTCCGCGGAGCTGCGGCGGGGCCCACGCCCAGACACCGAGCGACGAGGGCCAACCTCGTCCCGACTTCCCTCCGCGCGCGCGCGGGGGAGGGGGGCGCCGCAGTTCTTTAGGACACCTAGGTTGAGCAGCCCTCTTGATCCTGGCTCTGGGAACCGCGACTGAGACAGCTGCCACTAGCCCTAGCCCTTTGGATTTACACTTGGATTATTGCTGGGCCTCTGGGTCCCCTCCTCTCCCTTCACAGGCACCCGCGGTGGCGAGAGTGGAGGGAGGGTTTGGGTTTTTTTTTTTTTTTCTTTTTGACCTTCCGGTGAGTTCTCTATTGGCTTAGGGATTGCAGTAATTTTTTTTCCCCCTCCGTTTGAAATTGGAAGTGTCTTACACAGGTTCAGGTTCGGTACTCCAGAAATTTAAGTTCATAGAGAGGACCTAAGTTAATTAGAATGATAACTAGGTTTTGCGTCCGTCCTCAGCTCCCTCCTTCCTGGCATCTATAAGAGCTGAAGCTGAAATGGAGAGAGGCAGACGCACATCCTGACTTGTAGGTTAAAGAAACCACTCTGCTCGCTGGTCATCTCATGCTCTCTGGGCTCAAGCCACACTGGCGTATTTCTTTAAGGCTTTTAAGGCCTCTCTCAAATCACCTAGTCACTGGCCTGAAGCTAAAACTCATTAAGGGAGGAAAAGAGATTCACAAACTATTGAATTTACTAATGGATGGGAGAGAGACAATGCAAAATACATGTCTCTGCCACAGATGGGTGACTGGCTCTGTCCCCAGACCTGAGGAGGTGGGGAGATTTGGCCTGGGTATCTAGAATAGGGGCAACTCTAAGAGGAAAGGGAGGTGACATGGATTGTCTTGGCTGGAGAGGAGGGGACTTTGTTACCTCTTTGGGGAGAGAATGTTAGAAAATATGCTACTGATCTGCTGTGGAGTTTAGGGGACTGTGTTTGGTAGGACATGTGCAGCTCTGGGAATTAAAAATCTGAGTAGGACAGTCTGACTTAAGTCATGCTTGGGAAGAAAAAAAAAAAAACCTAGTGACACTGCATAGACCATAAAGTAGGTGGCGGATTCCAGGCTGCAGAGAGGAGGAGCCAATGGCCCTGACCCAAGAGCCAGAGGTAATAAGGACTCAGAGCCCCTTACAAATAACATGGAAAGGTTCAAATATTGACTATGTTTGGAGGCCACCTATATTGGTTTTGAGACATGCATCCATGTCACATGTGCACATCTGTGGCTGGGTTGCATAGCATGCATGAAAGCAGGGATCGCCTGTGTATGCATGTGCACAGTGAAGGCTCCTTCTTTGAAAGTGGACAGGAACAAAATCGTATTATTTACAACAAACACAAACTTAGCATTATCATTTGAGACACAGATGGGTTCCTGCTTTCATTCATTTTGTTGCAGCATTTTTGTGATTAAAAAAAAAAAGTGAATGTAAACTGTTCTCTCCATGGCTCATGAATCTGAATCCTTACAGATGAAATCCATGATGGTGTGTGAATGACTACTTTCTAGCAGAAAAATGGTAGCATACTAAGTATTCTACCTGAAAAGTTAGAAATAGCTAGCTAATGATCCTAATAATCCATAGATTCAAGGACTGGATTAAGAGCCAGGGAGGTAGTTCAGTTGGTAGAGTACTGTCTATGGCCGAGAAAGCCCCAGGATTGAACCCCTCCCCAGCACCTCATAGACCGGGCAGCATGGCAGTACATGGTGGTAATCAGCATTCCAGCTGGGGTCAGAGCAGGAAGCTTAGAAGCTCAGCTTCTTCCTTTGCTACACAGCATATTTTAGGCTAGTTTGGCCTACATGAGACACCATCCCAATCCCTCCCAATCCCCACCCCCTCCAAAGCTGAATCCTTGCCTAGGTGAATAGTAGTGGATCTGGGAAGCAATTGTTCTAATTCCCTTTGGGCACAACCAAGACTATCAGCTATTTCTTTTGCTTATCTAACACAGACACAGGAAGGAAATAAATGCCCAACAGACAACTCACAAGCAGGGCATTGCTCCCTCAGTAATTTCCTTACATGCGCTTAGCTGAACACTGTTCATCCTGCTCTGTTACTGTCTCTCAGGGGCCCCATAGTCATTTCTTTCTCCCCACAGTGCCTCACAGGGGACACTGCAAGGCAGAACTTAGTTTTTGCTAAATGAATGAATAGCTAGATGTTGAGTAAGGGACTATGCTGCCTCTTTACATCGAGGGTTCTGTCTTTTTATGCAGAAAACAACAGGCTATTTTCAAAATTCCTTAGGCTTCCATAATTCTAGGGTTCTATAGAATGTAAAAGACATCACAGATTTTTGAGAAGGTGGCTCAGTTCTTGCCTTGTAAGCATGAGGACCTGAGTTTGGTCACTCAGAACCCCATAAAAGAGCCAGCTGTGGCACCCCATGCTTGTAATATCAGCACTCTGAAGGTGGAGACAGGTGGATCTCTTGGGTTTGCTAGACAGACAGTCTAGAATCATGGTGAGTCCCAGGACTATGAAAGACCCTATCTCAAAAATCAAGATAGATGGCAGCACCTAGCCCCCCAAAGTTGGCCTCCGGTCTCCACAAGACATACAAATATACAAGTCCATGTACACACACACACACACACACACACACACACACACACACACACACACCATATCTCAATACCTATTGAGTAAAAGTAATTTATAAAAGCCAATCAAACTCTCAATGAGAAATAAAATACCAAACTCTTTCATATAGAAAGGAGAGGCGTGTGTGTGTGTGGGGGGGATAGCACAAAATAAAGTTTAAGTAAAGTGAATATAACAATCACAACTGGATTTGCTTGCTTAAGTTCAACCTCTTCACGCATCCCTTTCACTATGACAAAGTGACTTAGCCCTCAGAGAAGTCCTTACTTTGCTAATGCAAAACTCATTGCAACAAGTTACAAAAAAGTAGTTTTGTGGTCTGTTTCTGAGATGCATAACCAGATAAAAGCCTTTCATACTGTCCCAAAGTGAATGGCCAGTTTACCGGAGAATTCAGGTTTATATAGATGGCATCATTACATGGAACATTATGCAAATGCAAAACCCTACAAAATGTGGGGAAACATTCCAACTTTCTAGCTTAGATCTTAGGATATCCACTCTGCTCTCCTCCTACGCACTCAAGGTTACCCTACAGCACTAATGTTATTTCTACGCTTCCGATAATTGCTTCACTGCACATAATATGTATCACTGAAGGCCAGCAACCATGCAGAATTCTATCCATGGTATGACATTAGGAATGCAGCTTATCTCAGATACACTATGAAGAGGCAGGAATCCCCATGAAGCTCCTCCACATACAAGCAGCAGCATAAGGCCCATTGCTTGGCACTCACAGCCCTCTGCCACCTGAACAAGTGATTGCTCCAGCCTGAGAACCAAGGCAGGGCAAATAGAGTTTTCAGGTTGCCTTGACAGCAATGTGTGTTAGCTTCATGAACAAGATACCAGGAATAATGATGGGAATCTGAGCAGTGGCCCTATCTGAAAATATTTCAAACATGCAGATTAAAGGAATACGGAAGTTGGACCAACCCCTGGACGTGCTATTCTATTAGGCAGACACCTCATTTGTTCAATCTAAGCTGCAGGTTTAGGAACATGTTAACAGCTTTCTCAGTAACCAGTTGAGGCCTGTTTTATGCTCAGAGAAATGTCAGGCACCTGACTTGCATATCAGATCCTTGAAATCAGGACACGTCTTTAGCCACAGCATTACTGAAGACCGTAAATAAGAAATGTGAGGATGAATGCATAATTCAAAAGCAACAAGCGTCTCCTTCTGAAATAAGAATTCATTTTGGAGTTTCTAGGTTCTCAGAATAGCGTTAAGCTTATAGTTCATTAAGGCTTCCAGCTGCTGTGCCCATTCTGGGTGTGTATTCATCATTTTAGGGGCTGAAGAGATGCATGGCACAGATGTAAGATATGGTTTAAAAACCACCAGTAACTGCAAATGCCAAACAAAGTGTACGAGAAATGTGAGCATTTGCAAAGGAATGAGTTTTGACATACTAACACATCATTAAGGGGAATCATTCCTGTTCAGTAAAATTCCTTATTTGTCTCCTTTTCCTTCCACACTCTTACAAAAGCCAAATATCAGGCCAAGTTTGCATTATGTTTCACTTTATTGAAACATACCATTTCCAAACTTTATTTCTACTAAATTTTAGAACCAGGTCTCAGTGCTTCTAAATAGAATAATTTCTAACAATACAATTGTAAGAGTTATTCTAACACTCAGTTCTTTGTAGAGTTGAAATACTCTTATAATAATTTTATTCTTCTCGTCAATAAAAATAGGAATCCATTGTGAATTGTTTTCTGTTTGGGAGTTTTGTATATAATATAAAAATGGAATTGTAAAATACAAATAATGGGAGTCAGAAATGTGAAATTTCATTCGATTTCCAAATAAAATAAATGTACACAAAATTGTTTTATTCTTAGGAATTCTCTACTCAAGGTAGAAATATTAAGACTGGAAGTTGTTAATACGTAATATTACTAAATTCAACTCCCAAACAGATGACTTCCATTAAGCTGTTCTGAGATGCTTAACGTTTTTATCATTTTCTACCCTACCTCCAAAGACACACAATAAGTACCGGCAAGCCTCTCCATCTCTCATGAGGTTGTCAATGATCCTAATTACCAAATATATTTCCTTCCAGTGCCTTTCAAGAATACACCAAGGAGTGAGGAGTGAGAGGCATTCCGAAGCTGGCTGGCTGACTTGCCATCTCCAGGTTTATATTGCCCTCTTTAGGCAAGCCTGAGACGGTGGTTCAAAGAATTCGAGGTCGGCTTTGATTTTTAATTGATTCCTGGAGTCCAGTACTTTTTTTCTCTTGCCCCTTCTCACTGACCTGTTCTAGTCTAGTGTGGGCCCACTCTGAAAATGGGATTTCATCATAGTCCACAGCTGCGAGAGCCCTCCAAGAAGAAATGAAAATGTGCAGAATGCCCGTGTCACTTGAAATCAATCTATATAATGGGCCGAAGGCATTTAAAGACAGTCATAGCCATTGCCTTTGTCCTGGTCAAGATGTGTACTAGGCATGTGCCTGAATAGTCAGGGCTGACTCCTTTGTACATGGTACAAACTGGAGAGTTTTGAAGTTTCCCAAACTAGACTGTGTACAAACAACTTCCTAAGCTGTTTCTGTCTCAGAAACAAACATATTTACACCATTT